TTCAGCCTCTTATCAAAAGAAAATGTTAGTGTTGCTAAAACTTTACATCTAGTTTTGCATTAGAGGTGTCTAACAGTTTTTTGTGTTTGTATTTTTCCTCCATATTTTGGGGATTTATAGTTGAGTCTACATTAAATAAATGACTCATGAGAAGGCAAGAGCTAGAGATGGGAACATCATCATATAAAGGTCTCTGTTTGGGCTTTAACAGTCATGATCGGCACTTTAAACATCTGAGGAACCTGCATTTTGAACCAACATTTGCAGGATAGGGACCCGTGTGTCAGAAGGGGTGAAAATTGGGGTAAACAGATTTTCCATTATTACCTACCATTATTAAAAAAACTGCAGTCTTGTTGATGCTATACAATTTAGCTAATCCAGGTTAAAGGTATAGTTCACCAAAGAATGAAAATTCGCTCATTATCTACTCACTTTTTGCTATCCCTTGAACTATCCCTTTAAGTCAACTCGTACAGAAACATGTCAAACCTAAGCATTGAGGTTTCAGGTTCTTTTTCTTCCTTCATCTTTTTTTTTATTAATGTGACTGTAATTGTCGTCGCTCTGTAAAAAAACCCATCTTTTTTTTTTTTAGATTTGCTCTATAAATAAACTGACATGAGAGGTCACTCGTGTAATTAGTGAGGCTGGTCGTTTTTCTATTAATTACTTTTCTTTCCAGCTTATTGGGTTGTGGATATTTATAGAAAACTAAATATTACTCACAAAGAAGAGACTGAAGTGCTAAAACAAAGCCAGTGCTGTGACAGCTGCTGACTGACAGCTTCTCACTTTCTTTCTCTAATAGACATTTCCTGATTGTGTCTTGACCATGGAGTCAGACTGCACTGGAAACTTCTAGGGAGTTATTAGCCTTCATGTAAACTTAGGGCTTTTTTCTTTCTACATTTCTTGAAATTAGTAGAAGCAAAGGAAAAATATCATCACAAATTTTCAGTTTAAATTTCATTGCATCACTTAAAAAAATGTACAAAGCTTGAGTGAAAAAGGGCGTTGGAAAAATACAAAATAAGAGACGATAGAATCACAAAATGAAAAGATGAAGTTTTAATTGATGGATGGTAACTTTGCTGCAACTTAATTTCCTGGTTTTATCTCTAGCTGCTTTCAGACATTCACTGAGCTCTGCAGTTCCTCCGTATTTTCTCACCTCTAGGTATAATGTCAGTAGAAATCAAGGAGAAGTCTATATAACAGCACAGCAGGGGATCCCCTAAGAGCCGACACAGGAACTTGTTGCTGTTGTGAACGTGTCTGTGCAGAGAACCCTTCCACTGTGTTGAACTGACTGTGTGACTGTGAAAGGCAAAGTGAAGGTAAAGTCCGGACCCGATTCTCTGGACTTCATCCGCAAGTCATGTCTGAAAATGCCTATGGTGATGTGGACTGACAGTGGTGCAGAGAGACAGGCCTGGAGGATCCAGCAAGATGCCTCAAGGTTAGCACTGTGTATGTGTGTGTGTGTTGGGAAGAAGGGAAGGAAACAGCTGCCAGTGGGGTTTACCACAAGTCATTACTGTGCACAGGGGACAGAGGAAATGTAATTTTTACAGACAAACACTTCATAGGACACACTCAGTGTTTTGAATACACTGTCCATGACCCTGTCAGGATGCGACTCTTAAAAACTGAAAGTCTCACACACACACACACACAAGCAGAATCTGCTGTAATCAACACTTCCACTTCTGCTTTTAGCATGTTCCCACTGTTGGGGTGAAGTTGTATCTGCATTTCAAAGGGTTAATTTACATGAGAACAGTGGTTCCTGGGTGTCGTGACCCCGGGAGAACTGTGGGAAGTCAACTACAGTGGAAAACACTTGGAACGTAGGCTACTAAATGTATCGACTGTGTGTCATCAACAAGGGGCATCAAACTGAGGAAAGTATAACGCAATAATATTTCACAATATTTAATATTGAACTGGAGGGATTTAAATTAAAGTTCTTGACTTTAAGAGAAAAGAACAATAAAACGTGTTGATCGAGTTTCCCTTTCACTTCACAGCCTCAACTGAACACTTTCAACACATCTTAACTGAACCGCTTTTACTGCTTTTCATTCTTTCCCTCTTTTATTCCACCATTACTTTTCTTGAGAATTGAGCTCAAGCTAGTCCTGCTAGGATTTTAAAGTAGAATGAAAATGCAAAAGTCTGTCTAGTCCTGATTAAAAAACATTTTCACTGTCTACTTTTCCCATAGAGAGCACAATGTAAAGTTACTATTCTTACATTTTTTCGAACTTCTCATCATCTATTCCTGCTTCTCACATCTCATCACGTGAGACAATTCTCAACAATTTATCTGATAAAGGTCCAGGTCCAGATAGAACAGCTCTGGTCTCTTTGAAACAACCTCACCCAGTGTGTGTGTAGTATTCTTAATATTCATCTGAAGTGTACACAAAGTGCTGATTGGGATGATCAAATGTGATGACTTAATGGAAAACTGACATTTGGCCTTGTCTATCACTTGTGCATATCAACGATGATTCATGCAGTACTGAGCTGCACCATCACTTTCAGTCAGTGATGATTTAATGAGGAAGAGGCAGCAACCACGAACACTGTGGTACATTTATATTAAGATGAGTAAAATGTGTGTGTGTGTGCGTGTGACTGTCTAAAAAAATAAACAACAAAAAACCAAAGACAAAAAAGAGAGCAAACAAGATCATAAATTGACAATAATTAATGAGGATTTTTTGGAGGTCTGGCAGTTCCGAAGACGACCTTCAAACACAGTGTGTACATGAAAAACAATCAGAAGTCATGGGAACAAAAAGCAGGCTGCCAATAATAGCTACGACTGAACAATACTTTGCCAAGTAGACACACACAAACACTCACTCACACGTCCACACAATGGCACCCGCTCATATAGGAAATTATAATTACAATGGCTTCCCATGCTTATTAAAACTACTAATAATAACTGCTAATAATTACAGCATGCCAAACCTGCCATGGGAAGGAGGTCGAAGCAATTACACAGCCAGTCAGTCAGTGACTAGCTCCTACAGTCAGTCGGTGAATCCAGCAGCCAGTTTAACCCAGCATCGGCCAGCACAAGGCCATTTAGTCCGTCTCAGGAAAACAGGCAGGATCTGTAGAGTAAGTCATAGTCTGAACAGATTACATGTCAAAGTGTTAAGTGATGAGACCATGAGAAGACATGGTTCACAGAAACACAGTCCTGATTCATGTTCTTGTGTTCGCTGAAGTTCTTCCCATATTGAAAAAGTAAGAGGACACTTCAGACAGAACTGAATTCTAAATATATGCACTTCTTTCTCAGGCTTTTCCCTTTTGGCTGATAAATTGTATCCCCAGGCTTCATACAACTTTAACCATTTGGTGAGAGCCTTCTTCTTGGTCTAGTGCCAGACCTTGATGTTTACACTCACCACAGGGTGAAGATGGTCTTAAATGAACACAGGCCACAGGAATGCAGTCATCTGCAGTAATTCTTTAGTTTGGGGAAAAGCCCATGGGTCAGCTAATTGTAGCCCTTTCATTAAGCCAAGAGCAGCTAATGAACCACTGCAATAGAACGACATAATCGTGTTAACAGTTTTAGACTGATGGATGTTCGACTTTCTTCATCTTCTTCATCAGTCACTTGATAACTTTTTTTCTCTCTTTTTTCAAATATAAAAGTCCAGATTAAATTTTTAGGAAACTTGTGAGAACCATAAGGACTCACCATAAGGACTCACCCAAGGTGGGGGTTCAGTGGGACATTCTGCAATCACATTTCTTTTCTTGATGGTTGCTGTGATGCTTATCACTGATGTAACAACTATATCTGATAATATCAAAGTCTGGTGGGTCATGCACAACCCAGGGGCCAGATGTTACCCACCCCTGCAATAGGGTGAAGCAAAGGGATACTGTACATTAAGCTTAACGCTGCTGAGATCTGCAAAGTGTGAAGAGGATTCTCGATGAGATCAACAGTAGCAGCAACTTTTTATCCTCCCACAAAGTCTTTCAGAGTGATGGAAAATCCAAAGCTATCATTTCACAGTGAATTAGAGAGCAAACATCTATAAATCTACAGGACAAAAAAGAAATGTCAAAAGATTATCAGTCAGGTAAACAGACCAGTTCATCAGTCCTTCCTCACTATTTCATTTGCTCCATTACTGCGACATGTTTGATCCAGACTGTGAGAAGAGTCCTGTAGTACACTGCAATTAATCTCAGAAACTAATTTAAGGTCTGACATGCAGTACCACAAACAGCAGGACTTAAATAAATGTTATAATCAGTGCATTTAATGTTGAAAATGCACACACACATACTGGACACTGTGCACAAAATGAACCTTGGCAGTGACTCAGGAGAATTTAATTACTTCCCTCTCCCTCTCCCCATTGGCTGCAGTTCCGGGATATGCTAATTACGCCTTGACTGATAAAACATTCCCTTGGCCTCCGTGTCTCATTACTTCCAACTTCTCTGATTGCAGCCCAAGTCCAGCACCCATCGTGTCTACCAAATAAAAAAGCACCTTTAAGCCACAGACTGTGACTAAATGCTTATTAATCGGAGGGATATGACCTAGCAGTGCAATGGCACTATGCCAGAAGAAAAAAAACTCAAAAAACTTTGCACAGCAATCAGTGTACCTTATCTCCTTTTTCTAATTGATAATTAGTCTTGCATTAATTTGGGGCCAACATCTATCTCTTATCACAAAAGGTACCATTTATCAGCTGCTTAAATGATGGACTAAATTGAGTTGGCAATGTTAATGATTCACCTTGCAGGGTACGGGGACATGAGGGAAATAATTTCTCCTGACTCGTATTTAATTAACCTTAGCAGATGTGCTGGGCATGCATTGCAGCGTAAAAATGAAGGACATGTTTTAACATTTAAAGTATGACTTCTCTGGCAAACCATGTTTTAAAATGAATATTTTAATGCAAAAAGGATGTTATATACATAAATATAAAATGCAAGAAAACAATAATAGAAATCATTGTTATTGTTACAACATTATAAAAAGCATTTTTTTCAATTTTTGGATACAATCAGTGTAATAAAAACTTTATACTTGTACGACAGAGAGGTTATTTAGTTGGATCCTTCATTCCCTGGTCTCTGTACAAGGAGAACCAGGAGTACCAGCACTCTTCAAGACGGCTCTGGTTCGTACCTTCATCTTGTGCAACTCATCCTGTACTGACAAAAACCAGAGAGCAATACATACCAGAAGTTCAGTATCTCTAACCATGCTACACCACAACGTCTTGTTTGTTTTACCCAATTTTGAAATAATGAGTTTTAAATTTCTTGCAGGTCATTTTCAAACACTAAAACCAACATGAATTGAATCTGTAAGGAAGAGAGATCTAAACTATTCTGTCGTTCTTACAGTAGCATGGTTAGAGCAACCAAACATTATGTGGCTCCAGTATACCAACCAACAACCCCAACTACCATTAAAAAGAACATGTTAAATATTACATATATGTGAAATGTGTACTAATATTAGAGGAGTAACAGTAAAACACCTTCATGCAAAGTTCAGTGTACTGCTCACCCACGCAGTTAGAAAAGATGTCCTCCAGCCTCGCTTTCTCTTCATTTTGTTTTAAACCACAGAATGTTTATAAAGATAAATGACTGAATGTTACGTGGACCAAACAAAAAGTCAAAGTACAAGTCAAAAACGTTTTTCTCAGAGATGGTTTCTGTCATTTTAGGAAGTTCTAATCACACTCTGACAGCTGAGACTGACTCACGATTGGTCGAGCTTGTGTTTTGGAATAAACTCCATTCCAGATTTCCCCTGGTGCTCTGGCTTTAACATACTGAAACACATACAAGACTATTAATAGGTAAATAAGTAACAATACAACCTTTCGAAATGAACAAGACTCTTTTTTTGGTATAATGGCGTCAGAGTCACACATTTAAGCTCAGAAGTGTAGATTAATAGTTGTAAATCAACACCTAGTGGGTCCAAGGTATATAAAAGATCACCATATTTTTCTTATGGTGTTGTATATGCTATTTACCTTTTCTCCATTCAGTCCTAACTTAAGTGATTTTACACTTTGATTAATTAATGAATTAGGCTACATTAGATTAGAGCATTTACCACCCAACTAGCAGTTTTGTTTGAGGTAACGTTGTACACCCGACTCTACCACTCATCGATGTGGAGGTTGGACTACAAACCTTCTATATGCTACGTACAAGAATGAACGATGGGCATGTGAATTATTTTGGTGTCAGTTCTCTATACTTGACAGACGAGTTTGCCAGTCTCATGTGATTCATTATTGTGTGTTCACTGGACAGTTTGAATGAATGAAGAAGAATTAAAAGTGACAATAGGGAGAAAAAGACAAATATTTGTAAGGAAATACTAAAGTCACTACATTCAGTCAATATGAGTACATAGCCCCCCCCCCAACTGCAGAGCAAGCATTGCCCACATTTTTACACTCTTACATTCTTTACTCTTTTTGTTTCCTCTCCTCTTTTTCATTGGGGTCTTGCACAACATCAGTTTTTTACCATTTCTCTCCCCTCCCTTCATCGGCTTCAATCTATTACTCGTCCTCCTCTTTACCATCATCCCTCTTTTCTTTCAGAGTCCATTAGTTTCAGTTTTCCTTCTTCACTTCTCTACCTATCCTCACATCTGTTTCTTTCTTTGCACCTTTCACTATTTTCCCTATCTAAATTATTTTAATCTACATCCTTCTTTCTACTCAATCATCCATATTTCTCTAACAAACAAGCACACAGCAGCGTATTCATTCTCTACTTCACATTCTTTTACATGGGTTTCAGTCAAATTACTCTCAACATTCATCCTTTAGTGGTATTTCATCCTCATTCTTAATAACAGACGCAATTCATCAAATCTGGAAATGTCATTTAAAACACTGAAGTTAATACTGCGGAGCTTTGTGGAATGGAACACAGAAATGTTTAATCTCAGTTACACTTAGCTGATTGCTCAGTAAGTGGCTAAATGGATATACTCTATGGTGCAGCAGTGAGATGAGCACTCTGATGCCCAATTCTTGTTTCAACGAGACGTGTGTGCACTTCAGCGCACAGTGACGCCTACACCACCAGGTCATAGAGATGTGCAATGAGCATCCTTCACAGCCCAACTAGGGCTAGCAGTACATGTCATACACGGAAAACACAGGGAGGACGTGGCTGTTGAGTAACGCTGAGTGAAAGTGAGCTTGACAGCTGGTCAGTTTTACACCTGCACAAAAACAGAACAACCTCCACTGCCTGAAACAGACAGAACTGACATCTGCAACTCAGCTCCACGTCCAGCTCAAACTTTAAACGCAATTAGTACACACATCAGTTCAAGACAGTGCACTGTAGTGGTGTGATATTTTATACAAAATAAACGCTTCTGCAATTATCTTTCTCAAGTGGTTCATTTGTCTGCCTATCTTAATTTGCTGTCTGTTAAGTTCTAGCACTGTTACGAATAAATCAATTGTTTTGTGTTTTGAAACGTGTACTGTTAATCTGAGTGAAGGACAAGGCAGCATGAAAAAGCTTTGGTTTGTGTATCGTCTACATTTAAATGATCATCTTGTTCTGAGCAGAGCTTCCTCACTAATGTCAAAGCTTATAGGTTGATATTATTATTCAGATCAAACTTTGTCAATCATATGTCGGATAGAAAACCAAAAACTCAGCAGAGACTCAGATGATTGTGAAATGATTCAATACACAGAAGTTTACAATGTAAATAAAGATGGACGACATTGCGGCTCCCCAAAAGTAAAGCCGAAGCATATTGATCGGCCTCTGGTGGCTGGCTGCAGCATAGGGCATGAATCCCGCCTCCTACATAATAGTGGATGTGACCAAAATAAAATGTCAGAGTAGCCTACATGTCGAATATAGTTTTCTCAAAGATGGTTTCTGTAAATTATTGTAGTTCTTATCACATACTGTTTGTTCAAGTGCTCATATTTTCCAGCAAGATTCCTCTAAAGCTATAAAAATAAAAAAAATGGGATGAAAACGTGATGATTGACAGCTGAGACGTCATCAGCTCAAGATTAGCTTCATTAGCTAATTAGCTTCATTTCTGGATTATAGGAGGATGTGGAGACGTGTCGTCCATCTTTATATACAGTCTATGGTTGACTACATGAACTAGATGGAAATGAGACTTTTTGTTTTAATACATTCAAGAGGGGTCATTTTAAATAAAGTTAATTGTCCATAGAAAAACCTTCAGTCAAACACTTGTTTTGGAATATAAAAACATAAAGATGTGATCTATCATTGTAATGTAATGTGGTCTGAAATGCTAATATCCTAGGATCATTTTAATGCAGGAGCAGGGCTGTTCAAGTCCTGTGAGCTGGAGGGTTTCAGGCTCAGACTCAACCTAGTCCAGTACTGTCTTGTGAATGTATTTAAACTCATATCTAAGAGAAATACATTGGATAAAAATGAAGGCAATCATATTATTATTAAAAGCATAAAATGACACAGAAATAATAATTCATACAGTGCTCTAATGTGCTATGGTGCACTTCAACAATTAAAACGGTGTCAAAAGGAGCACTTCATTCAGCAGAGGAGCCATCGACTCTTGATGCTATGTAGAGCTTTTGTTAGTGATTTGGCTTGGAGGGATAAACTGTCTTTCTGCACAACGCTTCTGTTTCAGCAACTATTACCAACATAGCAAAGAATGTTATCTTCACACTAATTTGTTGTTGCCCACACTGTTTGGGAACACGGGGTCATTTTGACTGTCGTCCTCATCTCAACTTGGCCTTGGGGGAAAAACTAAAAGACCCCCATTCACATTTCAACATGAACTGTTTTAGACCCGACATTAAATTTGACTTTCTCACTGAAAGTTCTTGCTTTAGCATGTGAACGGCCACAAAACTAAGGTTAGTGTGCTACTGCATGCTCTTTTTAGGGTATTTTATCTTTTGCCTTGTTGGAGCAGCAGTAGTGAAACTGACAGCTACAATATGATAGTGCAGAGCTGTATTTATGCCTTTGGTGGCTTAATTTAAATGGATCCAATTACCTGAGCCTCTGACTTCTAGAAAGGGACAAATTAATCACAGTATAGTGAAAAGCAAAAAGCCCTGCTAATTTTACACTCTGGGAAACCTCAAAGCAATTGAAGACATTATGCATTACGCCAGCTACTCTATAATTAACCCCCTTGCTTGTCTGTGTAAAACCATATACTTTTCAACAAGACTAGACAATGTATGATAATGATGGTGATTCGCACCATTAAGAGGTTTTGACTCTGTTTCATTAGAGCAGTGAAAGCAGAGGAGCTGCACAATTGAGAGTGATCAGCATTCTGCTTATTTTTCATCTCTGGACGTGACTGGTCTACACAGCTGCAGTCATGGCATTCTTCTGTCTTGGGTTGGTTTGGTGTTGCTGTCTTCCTACCTCCACAGTGTAGCTATATTGGTCAGGACCAGGATCCACCAGGTGCCTGTACCAATCAGACGCATTCTCAGGTTTGATAAAATGCTTTCATCAAAGACAGAAACATGCCTCAAGCTTTATTTTCTATATTGGAACCGTACTGCTTTGATAAACACAGAACCTCATTTTTTACAATAAAAAAAATATATTGTGAAAAAATAGAAAATTTAAGATCTCAGAATTTACCTTGGAAATGTCCCTACCTGTAGCCTCCACCCCCAGTTCCACGCATCATAGTGTCGTACCGTAGTCCCCGAAGTGGAGGGGTGGGAGACGGTGGCACGTCCTGCCGCAAGGGTCCTCTCTGCTGTGAGCTAGCATTAAACAAAGTGTGGTTAAGATGTGTGAGTGGTCAGTGTAGTATAGTATCTTAGTATAGTATACATAGTGTAGTATTTTCTACCTATAGCCTCAATATGAGCAGAAAACCAGGAGATGAATGCAAGATAAACCAGAGCATACATTTAACAGTCAATGCATAACACACAAGTTAACATATGTCTCCGCATTCACATACCTTGGGTGAGGGTAGAAGCCAGGGTCAATGCCCCGTGGGTCACCTGGACGTGGGTATGGCTGGCCAGGAGGTGGGTAGCCAGAGTAAGATGGAGCAGGCTGGGAGTTGGGATTAGGGTAGGACATGGACTGAGGGTAACCCTGTGGGGCCTGGGGAGGTCCGGGGTAATGACCTGACCAGGGCTGCATGGGGTAGTCAGCTGGATCCAACGGACCCCTTCTGAGGAAGAGAACAGAAACGATAGTAAACGAATTACAATCAGTGAAGTCAACATGTTTTGTCTTCATGTCACCACAGAACCGATGAGGTTTTTACCTCTCGCTCTGCCTGAAATCACTCACAATAAAACAAATCATCAACCAACTGCTGCCACTGCAAACACCATGTTTTTTAATAGAGCAAATATCAGTAAATTTTAATACTGCATTTAGTACTGTCAAATAAATGGCTGAAATATTCATGAAAATCTGCCACTGACTATTTGCTTTAGACTGGAGAAAAGTGAGTGACTCTCTCTCTCTCTCACACACACACACGCACACACACACACACACACAGCTGTGGTAATCCAGTCCAGTCCTGTTAATAGATATTGATGTCTTGTGCCCAGTGGAAAGCAAGTACACAAACACGTGTCGTCCACATAGCTAACATTACAAGGTATTATATTTTATCTCTATGTCTTTCTGTCTCTTTTCATTTTTCGACATTCGTTTCTCACTCTGTCTCCATCTACCAATCTGCCTCATCTTCATTTTATTTTCCATTCTCTTATAAATAATAAAATATTTTAATAGTTTATTTTTGCTTTACATGTCCATCTATGAGATTACTGTGAATGTGTTTAATTATTTAACAAAATGCAAGGCAATTCTTTCCGTCAACACCGAAAAAAGAAAGCTAACAACTTAAAAAAAGCTTTAATTGGTAACAAACCAATGAATTAAGCGTTTTCAACTTTACTTTGGAATCATGTTTCCAAATTAAGTATTTTAAGATTAATACAACGGTTTTCTTTTATCATTTACTCAAACGTGTGTTAAGCTGCTGAAGCAGATTCATGTCACTCTCAGCGAGTGTCATGACACTTATTATTGCTACACATGGTGGAGCAGGTGGAGCTCAATCAACCTCCAACCAGTCACACATTTAACCTGTTGCTGGGAGATAATGTGAACATTCACGCAACCACGGAGACAGACCGACTGACACTGACACAGATTTGTACATAAATACCTACACACATACATATACACAGAGACACACAGAGTGCTGGTGGTCCCCCTGCTGACGCCTGTGTGTGGCAGTTTGGGTGGTCAGCAATGGAAAGTGTCTAACTAACTACATGCCCATCATGTTTGGGATGTCTGCCTCCGCCCCTCCTGTCTCCGTGTCCACCACATAGCGAGTGTGTGCGTGTTTGTGAGCACATTACATTTCTGCCTCTCTGTCAATTTGTACGTTAACCTATCCATCATCTGTCTCCTGCTTTTCGACTTATTCTGCTCATTGTGGGCAGAGCGAATCAGCTACATGTCTCAAATGTCCCCCTTCTTGATAGCCACAGCCGTCTTGTCTGCTTCTCTTCTCTTCGTCAGTCAGCCAGCTGTCCCGTCTGTCCATGTGTCTGTCTGCCTCTCTCTCCCATTTTAGGCGTTTTATGGCTACAAGCCCTCCCGCCTGCCTGCCAGACAATCTGCCTCGCTGACGTGCCCCACCCCGGAGCCTGTGTATACCTGTATGCCCTTATGGGTTGGTCTATCTGTCACTCAACATTTGTCCCCGTCACTACGACAGTTTCAGTACCACGGACATAAGAGTGGTGCAGAGGTGATAGGGAGGAGAGGAAGGCCGAGCAGAGAAGAAGAGATGAGAGGCATAGGAGAAGAAGAGTGTTGGGGGAAGAAGATGTATAAAAGAGATATGGAGTTAAAAAAACATAAAGGAAAGAGGAAAAGAAGACACAAAAAGGAGCAGCATGGACATATAAATTACGTCAACTTTTATAAAAGACGCATAGTTAAATGTTGGGGGGGGGGGTGCACACCAGGGTACAGTGTAGGGCTCTGTGTAGCACTGATGCAGAAGCATGAATTGGCCTTAAATAGGTAGAAAATGAAATGAGGCAGAAAGGGGCCAGTGGACCATGAGGCAAGTTAAAGATGGGAGGGGGAATGCATTTAGAACAAAGAGGAATGGAGAAGAATACAAGCAGTAAAGTTAAAAAACACAGGAGGGAAATGTGGTGAATAAAAGAAAAAGAGGCTAATGGTCTGTCTATAATTTGACAGAACAGACACATAAAACGAGAAGAAAGAAAAGAAAACTGTGTTGGAATTTGTGATCTTTCATTAGAACTGTACAGGCTGGTGTTATTCTTGACTAATGAACTTGTGATTACTTATTTTGGGAAATATTGACAATATATTTCAGTTGATTAAATAACTGAAATAAAATGAATTGCCAGATTACTGCTGAATCAAATAAAAATGACAGATATTTGCTTGTTGCAGTTGTTCAACTGTGAAATTCACCAGCTTTCACTGTTCAAAACCATTAGAAATACAATATCTATGCATTTTTGGTTGGACAACTTAAGCAACTCAAAACAAGTTGGCATTTTCTCTATTTTCAAGCACTGTGCACATTGATTGGTTCCAAAAACCACTGGCAGACTGGTCAATAAGAAAACATTATCTGTGGCCCTACAGTCTTATGAGAGATTCCATATTGGGAATGGAGCAGAAATCCAGTGGGAATCTGCTGTAAATCCGTTGGCAAGTTTGGAATTCTCCCTCCAGGAACCCAGTGAGCACTGCACAGCAGCTGGGGATTACAGGGTAATGAGGATGGGAACCCATTACACACACACACACGCATACTCACACAGCCACATGCACACTCAGATAAGTATATAGGATGTGAAATGAAACGTTTATGTAGACATACGGTGGGACCCCAAATACAGACAACTCAACATTCTGCATGAACACACACACACACACACACACACACACAGAGGCTGCAAACTTAGCTTGTATGCAGCGCTAGCTCCTAATCACCCCCTCTCAAACCCCACATACTCTGGAGGAGGCAAATTGGCACACAGCTGGAGATGAGTTAAGACTAAATGAGGAGTCTGTTGGTCTGTGTGAGTTCAGTGTATACAGTATGTGTGTGTGTGGGGGTGTGTGAGAGACACAGAGAGAGATAAAAAAGTTAGAAACAGATGTAATGAATGGGAACAAATTTCTGGCACTTGCAACAACTTGTTTAACATAACTGAGAGAGTAATCAAACCAAGACGAAAGAGATAAAACCATTCCAAGCAGAACAGAAACTCTATAGACAGACTCAGTTTGAAGGGAAACCTGTTTCAGGATGACTTCTCTAATATTGTCAGATAGTTATATAGACAGATAGTGCACTCCGAGTACACAGGTTAGGTATTTGAAAGGATAATTGGAAAGTCTTCTCTCCAGGTCTGACAGTAATTGAGAGTAATGTGAGCCTCTCTAATTCCCTGGTATTTAAGAGATTTCTGATGGATTTCAGAGGAAACAAGGAGTTGTTATGTGTCCTCTGCAGCTGCCCCTCTCTCTCATAAGCACACACACACTTTTACTTCTCCTCTCTGAAACGATGTCTGGACACAGCTGTTATAAGGAAACTCACACACATACACTGAGCAATCTATCACCCCGGGCCTGTCTAAGAGAGACCAAGACGTAACGTGGTGACACGACACATTAAAAACATCTCCTGAGAGCCAATGACAGCCACGCAGCAGATGGATTCTCTCAATAAAAGCAAACACTAAAGCACAAACAACACGGCCTCAAAATTAGACCAGAGGAAAAGTTGCAGGTGAGAGAGGGAGGGTTAGAGAGGGTGAGAAAAAGAGGAGGGGGAGGCACAGAGTGAAATTCAAAGTGAGTGAAAGAGGAGCAAAGGGAGGAAGAGGAGATAAACTACTGTCACTTTAATTCACTTACCTTCTTTATGAGTCTTTATAGAGCTCACCATGTGTTGATATCCATTTAAAACTGATTCTGTGTATGAGGTGTGAAGAGGAATACTTCATATATTTAAATTGCATCCTACGGTGTCAGATTATTTGTCAGCCAGCGTCCCCATATTTTGACAGTCTGGTAATAAAACAGATTAATAGCGGAAATTGTTCCACAACTGCTGTCGTAATGTCATTTTGGGAGCCGCAATGAAAACGTAGCTGCAGTGATATAATGTCCCCGGGGTTTGACTAACTTTAACTTAGTTTCTTCTTCCTAATGCGAGACTTCATTATGAAGCTTTAATCAAGGAGGCATCACAGTCCAAACAATAAGGCAATAAAATCCTAAGTGAGAAATAATGAAGGGTGGAGTATATATTTTAGCTAAGGAATGGTATGATACAATAGGGAAGCCTATTTCCAGGAAGAATCCACTGAAATGAAAATGAAACCTGCTTCACATCTTGGGAGTTTTTTTAATCTAAATAAAATATTGGTTTGGACTGCTTAATTATTTGGAGTTTAACATATATAATTTTCTCTTTAATTATGGCATCAAGTTAAAAAATCCTCATCAAATTCTTTTGGAATTGAGACCAAGGAATGAAAACAAGAGTAATATTTAAAGTGTCTTAATTATAAACAACTTTGGATGAAAAAAAGCAAAATAGGGAACCTATGAGCTGTTTAATGTTAATATTACACAGGGTTGTGTAGCAAAAGCAGTGTAGGAGCATTTATGTGAAATGATTCTGAGACTGGGACGTGCAGCAAACGTTTGAAAACAATTCTGTGTAAAGAGAGAACACCACAAGTTATTTAGAATTTAGTGTAGTATTGGAGTCGGGTTAGGTTTTATTTAGTCTGTGACTTTGTTCAGTAAATTTGTTGAGACTTTTGCTGTTTATTTTTATTTGTATAATTAAATTAAATATACTTTAAACTGTTTTAGCACAAATAACGGAAAAAACCCAAATGACACCCATCCCTAACATTATAGTAAAAGAGACCAGTTAACTAAGAATTTGTTGACAAAAATGTTATTTTTGTGGCATTATTGTGGAATCTGTAAATTAGAGCTATAAAAATTTTGATTAGTTTCAAGGAACTTTAATGTTGCTCATGAATATGCACATTTAAGCTGCAAAGAGGAAACTAAGACATAAATATGAGGTTTTTGTCACGTGTTGTTCTTCATTAAAATGTT